CAGTATTCTATGATAAAGTAGTGGTGTAAGTATTCATTTCAGATAATGATGAGGAAGAGAAACAACAACTTTTTAGTTGTAGTGATAACAGCCTTAATTTTTCCCCGGGATGGATTTCCTGAGTTGGGGAGAGCTTGAAAATTGATTTCTTACTGATTTAATGATTTTTCCCAGCACTGCAAATGGCCTTCTTGGTAAAAAGTTCATTTTAACCTCTTTTTTCTTCCTGTTTCTCTGTCTTGTTCTCTTTGAAACATTTTTAATTTCCCCTAAAGAGGGCCCAAACACTAATCTGTCATTGTCACTGCCAGTGGATTATAATTTAAAGCCACCATTTCCTATTTCCCATGAACAAGGGTATCTTTACTTAATTATTGGAAAAAAACACGTGAGCAAGGCTTAGTGTGATTTATAATGTTTTGGGTAGGGCAGAGGTTTTGGCAAAGATTGCTTTCATTGCTTTTATCAGCTTTGGATCTGTGATAGTAACTTACTATTTAATGTATTTGAAGGGTGTATAGTTACACATTGCCTTTGGTTTTATTCATGAAAAATTTCCGCACTTTGCACTGAACAATTACTGTTACCAGTGCTGCTCTTTGGATTTATATCAACTGCGGGCACCATCATCGAGACAACTGTAGGCAGAAGCTGTCTTTATAGGGAAATGTAATGTGATTCTGGCTTATAGGCTGGCTTCGTAAAGGAGTTACTAACAAGGTTTGAGATTTTACAGAGTAATTTCATACTCTTTTCAGAAGGTCTGTCTTGTAATTCTAGCTGTTCTGTTATTTTGGGGGAAGAGTCTTAAGACTGAAATTAACAGAAGGCAGGACAATTGCTCCTGATACCTTCCTGGCTGATATTTCAAATGTTGTGTGGAAAACAGTTGTAGTTTAAGAGGACTTTAGCATTTTCAGCTCTTTTTTCTACATTTTTGTTGTAAGCACAAACTGTACAGCACACTTCCCTTCTTTTGATCAGACTAAATCTGATGCGAGTTAGTTTTCTAGGTTATCCTGAAAAGTAGAATAATGAATAACAGAAACAAAATGCTCCCATTCATGGGATGAAAATATGATCTTGTTTGGGCATTTGTGTTTTAGAGTGGGAGAGGAAATATGGCTTCACCAGTAAACTCTCTGATTATGGAGTACCTTTAGGAAGAGCTGCTTATAGACTTGTGTCATTGGAGTAGAGGAGAAGTCCGTTGTATTGCATTTGGTAGGTGGTAGGAACACAAATGCTGTCTTCCACATGAAGAAGAATAATGGCTTTAAATACAAAAATGAATGCTTTTATAAATACCTGAAACATGAAAAATAGGAAAAATGCAATTAAAATATTCTTATGAAGGTATAATTCTTCCTGTATTATACAGAAAGAAATCTGTATAGTAATGTTTGTCAGTGAATCTGTGATGTTCTTCAGTACAGGATATCTGTGCATATTTAAGTTCTCTTCTGTCCATTTTCATTATATATGTGTAAAAATGATAGTTATTTTCACTTAAGTTAGCATGATGATAGCCAAGGATATTTCACCTAGATACTAAATAAAGTTAAACACTTATCGAAGCCACAAGAGGTCTGTGTTTCAGAAAGAAAATATTCAAGTAGTGTGGACTTAATCTAAAATGTAAAACATTCTGCCTTGGCCAACCTTATTTGTAACCTCCTGAAAGAGTTTTCAAATACTGTATGACTAAGAGAAAATACTGTGTCAGACCTAATTCAGGGAAAGCTCTGAAACATACTTCAGCTGCCCCTGCCTAATTGCTACTTCAAGGGAATACTGCACAGTAAACAAATGTTTTGGAATTTGAATCTCTTATCTCTTAACAGAACAAGCCATTTAACAGAACAGCTCTTTAAACCTATTCTATTTTTGCAGCATGTTGCACGTGACATTTATCTTAGTTTTAATGTAATTTTTTTGTTTTATAAATGTAAATACAGCAATAAAAAGGAAGAATTGATCTATTTAAATAGATTATAGTAATTTCAACAGCACAGGTTGATCTTTTTAATGCTAAGTGACAGGAGTCCCACATATAAACTAGAAACCAGGTATCTTTCCATTCAAAGCTTGTAAGAGCCACCTTCAACAATATAACAATGCAGGAGTTAATTTCTGCGGTAGTCAATTTATTAACACACAATGGTGAACAGTAATAAGTTCTGGGCTGCCGTGGTTTAACCTCAGGCGGCAACAAAGCCCCCCCCAGCCCCCCCCCCCCCCCCCCCCCCCCCGGGTGGGATGGGGGAGAGAATTGGAAAAGCACAAGTGAGAAAAACTCGTGGGTTGAGATAAAAACAGTTTAATAATTGAAATAAAATGATAATAATAATAATATGATAATAATACACAAAGCAAGTGATGCACTGTACAATTGCTCACCACCCACCGACCGATGCCCAGCCAGTCCCCGAGCAGCAGCCCCCCCGACCAGCTTCCCCCAGTTTATGTACTGAGCATGACGTCACATGGTATGGAATGTCCCTTTGGCCAGTTTGGCTGTGCCCCCTCCCAGCTTCTTGTGCACCCCCAGCCTTCTCAGTCGGTAGAGCATGGAAAACTAGAAAGTCCTTGGCCAGTGTAAGCACTACCTAGCAACAACTAAAACATCGGTGCCTTATCAATTTTGTTCCCATCCTAAATCCAAAACACAGCACTGTACCAGCTACTAGGAAGGAAATTAACTCTATCCCTGCCGAAACCAGGACATGGGCAAAATTTCTCTGGAAGAGAAATGCTAATACTAGAAATGCTAAGTCTGATACAGCATGGACCTCCCCAAAATTTTCCTTTTGTTCTGCTGAACATCTTGTTAACATAAGGCTCTTCCTATTTCAAATTTACTTTGTTCCTTTGTCTGCAAGTCATAAATACACCATAACTTCAGAGTAGTCTGTTTCCCCTTTCTCTTTCATGATCAATTTTCAGTAAAATAGTTAACATAAATGTGAAGAATAGGACTGATTGCTTAAGAATTCTCCAATGATTCCTTAGTGGCAAAGCTTTCCTAACATGTGAAAAGGTTAATTTCAGTCCTCTGCTTTCATTTGTTGTCACTGCTGGATGTGCACGGTTTGAAGTTTGGGAGTCCCTCTTAGGGATGGCTGGTTCACAGTTGGGAGACTCTTTAAGAGGAGACCAAATGTCATGTAAATGTTCTGGAACAGAGCAAATAAGTTGGCTCAAACAGCTTCTGCTGTTGATCAATGTCTGTATTGTTAACAGATGTCTCTGTATTGCATCGATAAGTAATAAAGTACTTGTTTGTAATAACTGCCAGGAGGCAATGGTTTTGTGGGTTTAGTGTGTGGCTTATCAAGAAAAATTCATATCCATATCAGATGGGCAAAGAAAACGCTGAGACTCTATTTTAATTTTTAGTTTCAGGACAGTGAATTACTGAAAGAGAAAACAATGCAGTTCTTCTTCAAATGGGACTATTTATCCATGGATCTCTTCACAACAGACAACTGGAAGAATCCTCGTTTCTTCTTCCAGACCTATGAATAGGTCGTCACTCATTTGTGCCTGCAATTATTCATAGACACCCTTCTACTAATCACTGCTGGGAAACAATCATGTTCACTGATCTAGGGGCGGTGAAGCAGTATTGATGTGCAGATTGCCTGGTTTTCCATACAAGCAATTTCAGATGACTGTAAAAATGCTAAAAACTCTTAGCAAGTTCAGCTTCCTATCAGTTGTTTTGAGTATGTCATTGGCTTCTGCTATAGAAAGCTTTCTTTACAATGTCTAGAAAGCTGTCAGATTCCAATCATTGGAGATGTTTTCTACCAGAGTTGGACAATCCATCATGTCATCCCTACCTAATTGATACTGCTGGTTGGTTTTGTGTTTTGTCATCGCTGAAAGACTTTTAAAGGTTCCTTTTCCTGGAAGAGAATTTATTCTTTCGTAAGACTTTATCCTTAAGTTGCCAGGGTTTGATACACACTCAGAAAACACCATATATAAGATGATGCCTGATTTTCCTTTCTCTGGGTCCCTATATCTTCAAAGTGTCTTCTCATTAGGTGATTCTTATCTGGCAAAACTGGACAAGATATACCCCTAAATATCCGTTGAGGTCTTTGCCATATTTGGATATTAGGATTTCCTAGGAATCAGTACGAAGGAAATGCTGTTTCTACTTTTCATGTGTTTAGCTCAGTTAGGTTTATTATTGGATGAAACAATAAATTGGTGACAGTTCTTTGGATTTCTATAGCTCATCTTTCTCTAGGGAAAACAGCATCACTGTCACTTGTTTTCATCTTAAACTTCTGTATGTCTTGTAGCTGGAGTTAGTGGTTTGTTCAACTTGGTATTTAAAGCCAGTGCT